GCCTCGGCCTCAGCCGCTCATCGCCGCGCCCCGCCCGCGCGTTCGCCGCCACCGCACGTCCCCCGCCGGCGGCCACGATGAGCACAGGCCTGCGGTACAAGAGCAAGCTGGCGACCCCAGGTGAGCCCGGCGCCCGCCCGCGTGCCTGCGCGCGCCTTTGTCCCCGCCGCCCGCCCGCTTCTCACCGTGTCTCTTCGTCTCTCCCCCACCCTCTGGTCTGGACCCACTTGGACCCGACCGCGACCCCGACCCCGACCCCGCAGAAGACAAGCAGGTACGTGCACTCCGCCTTCAGCTAGTCTCCAGGCCCGGTTGGCTGTCACCTATTGTGGCATCAATGCCGCTGGCCTCCAGGCGCGACCCCGCCCCCGCTGGCCGTCAACTAGCCCAGTAGAGATAATCGATATACATTGTCTGTCGCCGGGCAGTGCTTCCACGCCAGGAGCTGCGGCGGCGAGGAGGGGTTGGCCGCCAGACCTGGCCCTCTGACCATCAGGGCAGTGGGCCTTTCCCAAGAATGGGAGGATGAACAATGTCTCTGTCCCACTAATCCAGCTCCAGCATCTTCTTGCTGACCTGGCTTGTAGGCCATGTGTTGGGGTCCTGGGTGAGCGAGGGAAGAATGTCTCTAGGTCCTCTCCTCTCTAAGCAGCATGTGCCTCTGGTCACGCCACTCCACACCCTGAACCTTTATCCCTATATACTAGAGCTAGGCTGTGGCCCAAACTAGGAGCTTGTCTGAGTCATCCCAGCATCTAGCATGGGTGTCCGAACCTAGTGAGTACAGATAGACTTGTGTCCTTCCAAAGGTATTGACCTGGTCCCCACCTTTTGAGAATACAGGACCCAACAGGAAGTTGGCCGGGTCACCTCCTGGAGAGACCTGACTGAGCCAGGGGTTAAACTGATCCGTGAGGGCTAGGAATGAAATGGGGGTGGGTACCAGGTGTGCTGCTAGGTATATTACTCCACTGCTGGCTGGCCTCTGTGGCTTGAGTTCAGCCATGTTTGAGGAGGAAAAACAGGCTCAGCTCTGGCAGCAGACAGGGCTTCACACCCTGTCATTGATGGTGTTTCACACATGGCATAGATGCAGGGCAGGACCTCAGCCTTGGGTGCCTGTAGCAGGGGGGAACAGGAGCAGCTGGCAGGTGGGGTGCACTGGGGAGTCACTGGTGGCCCAGGGCCAATCTCCTGGCAAGGATGTGTCCTGCCCAGGATCACTGGGAGGGGCTCCTGGGAGATCCTGGGTAGAAAGCTGTCTCCCTATCACAGCAAGTCAGACAAAGCCTGAGATGTAGGGACACACACAGCCAGGCTATTGTTTAAGGAGAAGGAAAAAGTATAGGGCTGCCCAGGCAGCATGCAGGCTATTCCTGGGCCTTTGGGTGCTCCAAGCTCAGCCTTGGGGCACTCTGAGTCACTAAGTCTGATACCTGCTGCTCAGCCCCAGCCGGTTGCCTTGCCCATTGCTGCCAGGATGGGGCAACCCCCTCCTGCTGAGGTTTCTATCGGGCACACCCCCTTCCTTTAGCCCTGTATCTGTCTAGCATTTGAGGTCAGCTAGGAGACAGCCCCTTCTCCTGTTCTCCCCCTAGGACCAGAGGGGAAAACACCATGAAGGCAGAAGAAGGGAGCCCCAGGAACAGGGCCAGGGGTCAGGTGTTCAGCAGACCCTAGTGGGTCTGGAGGGATCCAGAAGCACGTAATAGCTTCACTGTGACCACTGAGCTTTGGCCCATTCAGGCCTCCTTCTTACTGTACACAAGGGGAATGGAGAAGCAATGGGGGCTCTGCCAGCCCTCTTTGTCCCCTACCTCCTTCAGGCAGTGATGGGGCTCTGTTGGCTCTGGCTGCTGCTTCTTGAGCTGACTAGGGTAATTCTAAGAATGGAAATGCCTCGAGAGTTTCAGGCATCAGAAGGAGGTGGGCGAAGCTGTGTCAAGAGGAAGTGCTGAAGAATATTTGTTGTGGCTCAGGGACCAGAGAGAGGAGGTGGCAAGGTCCCTCCCACAGAATGCACAGGTCCTACTTGTGCCCAGTTGGATGTCGGGACAGGCAGGTTGGGAGATGGGAGTAAGACTCCTGCTGTCCTGATCAGGGCCTTCCCAGAGGCTGTGCCTTCCCAATTGGGAAACTGAGGCTGTATCTGAAGCAGACCGTGGAGTGGTGATTGGGTGAGACTCAGACCAGAGACTGGGGAGTGGGTTGAGGGCAGAAGGCCTGTGGCTACCCCCATGCCTTGGGAAGAAAGGCTTTCCTGTTTCCTACCGTGGGCCTGCCCTCCTCCCAGGTGCCAGTGGCTTCAGGCCCCCCAACAAGACTAGGGCTTTGGGGGAGGGGGGCTCCACCCAGGTGACAAGAAAGGAGGGTCTGCATGGGAGAGGAATGGGGCCAAGTGGGGGAGGAGACTTTCCAGTGCTCTGTGCACACTGGCCAAAAACTTCCAGTCATCCTGGAGCTGATCCAGCTTCCCTTTCCTGGCCCCTAGGGCGGACTTGTTCTGATTTTCATGAGATGCTAGAGATGGGGAATGAGGAAGGCGTTTTGGCCCTCAGAGGGCCCTCAGCAGACTCCTGCGGCTCCTGGGGTGGCCACGGGGGTGCTGAATGTTAGCTGGCCTGAGCGATCTAGTGTCCTCCCTCCTACCCCCATCCTCCCTCACCCTCTGTTTGTCCAGTAGGTACTGCAGGTCAGAGCAGGCAGGGAAGCTCTGAGGGAAAAGGAGTATCCACGGAGACTGGTGAGGTTGGATCCCAGTCTGTCTCCTACATCGCCTCTGAGGGCAGGGGCCATCTGGAGGTCATGGTGGCCACGCGCGTTGTGAGTGGAGGTTTTGCCAAGCAGCAGGCTGGCCAGGACTTCTAACTAAGTTTAGAGAGAAACGGGTCGTCCGATACTCTGTCCTCCTGCGCGGCCTCTCGCCCTTCGCTCACACTAAGCCTCTGAGGAGGCGGGCGCAGGTCCAGGTGAGAGGGTTGGGTTCTGTCCTCCGCGGGGTTCCTGGAGGTCTGGGGACGCCTAGTGGAGAAAGCATCCCCGCTACATACCCACAAGTGCGCGCAAGGAGGGTAGGTCCGCTCCAAAGAGGGACAGGACCCTGGGGAGAGAGAGGTGTCGGAGAGTGGTTGGGTGTACCGTGACACCGCCGGGAGGTTTTCGGGCCGAGTCTGTACTGAGAGCACGGGTGCTGAATGGGGCCGGTACACGCGCCGTGGTTTGTGGGTTGGAACGTCCTCCGGCGCCCTCTGGCGGGCGGAAGCCGCACCGCGTGCCGGGGGCCGGACGCGCGGCCTCAACAGACACCGTCGCCCCCGCCCGCGTGCGGACCAAGCGTCTGGCCTGTACATCTCCCTGTCCAAACTGACGCCTGGACCCTGGCCGCCTGTGCCACCATCGGGCTCCCAGGCCACGCGGCGCCGCAGCCCCTCCCAGTGGCTCTGCTGGGCCCTGCCCTCCGCAGCGGTTTTCCATTGGTTCCGCCTGTGCCCCAATTTCTAGGCGACTGTCTCCGGGCGACGGCGGGCGGGGCTGTCTTCACCGCCCCCTGTCGAGAGCGTCCGCGAAGCCCCGCCTCTGTCCGGGTGCGTGGGGGTGGCTGCGGGGTCTACGTCGCCACCACAGCTCAGGGCGGGCCTGCAAAGGCGTGGGGGGAATGGCTCGGATGGCCTCTAGGGCCGGCGGTCCCCAAGGTAGGCGACGTCTCCACTTCGGGCTTCAGTTCCCTTGTCTGCAAAACTGGGGCGAGAGCAAGGTTTAAAAGCTGTGCTGCGCGTAAGTCTTTCGCGAACGCCAGGCTCGGGTTGCCCTGCCCGGGTCTAGGGGTCTGAAAGTGGCCGGCAAGGTCTCAAGGGCCGCCGCCATGGACTCGCTGGCAGCGCCCCAGGATCGCCTGGTGGAGCAGTTGCTGTCGCCGCGGACCCAGGCCCAGAGGCGGCTCAAGGTGTGTGTGTGTGTGTGTGTGTGTGTGTGTGTGTGTGTGTGTGTAAAGGGTGGAATGTGGGTCAGTGTGTGCACACTTGCCTGGCCAGGACCTGAAGGATCAGGGACATGGCAGGGGCTGCAGAGCCAACGACCTTTGAGGATGGGCGCTGGGACCCTGCAGTGGGGGATGGCTAAGCTCTACTGTCTATAAATAGCCCCTGCTCGCCGCTGCTGCAGCTGCCACCCCCAGGACTGGATTAGGGCCAGGTGGGCCTCCCACCCTGGGTACTCTGGGGAGGGGTGAGCGTTGAGGCCTAGGCTCCTCTTGCCTGTAAAGACTTCTGAGCGTCTTAGGAGGGTTCTCAGTCCTGGTACCTTCCACCCAGAATGGAAGACATGGCCTGTGCCTGGTGCAGCCTACCATCTCCCTATGCCCACCCATCCCACACACATAGTTTTGGGTCTCTGAAAGCCCCTGGCTGAGGCTGGCACAGAGCCACCTTCTCCTGCCACCCCCTTACCTGCTTTCCCACCTTCAGGCTTTTGTCTACAACCCCTCACCCCATTTTTGCCAATGAAATGCCATACCCTTGGGAATACCATCTGCTGCCTCCTTCTCCAGAGCCAGGTAGGGATAGGGCATTGGGCTGCTGCAGTGGAAGCCTAGTATGCCCCTGACCTGCCTCACTGCCGCCCCCAGGACATCGACAAGCAGTACGTGGGCTTCGCCACACTGCCCAACCAGGTACATAGAAAATCGGTGAAGAAGGGCTTTGACTTCACGCTCATGGTGGCTGGTGAGTGGGCCAGGCTGTTGGGTGGAGTGACTGGGGCCACTGACCAGCCAAGTTTAATTAAGGGGGGCCCAGGCCTAACCCAGCCCCTTCACTGTACTTGTGGCTAGGTGAGTCAGGCCTGGGAAAGTCCACACTGGTCCACAGCCTCTTCCTGACTGACCTGTACAAAGACAGAAAGCTGCTGAGTGCTGAGGGTAAGTACACCCTACATATCCCATCACTACTCCACCAACTCCTACCAAGTGATCCCTTAAACGGAATCCTTACAGGTTCACCCCCTCTCTTTTTATGGTATGGACCTTTAGTTAGGGTCCAAAGGAAGTGGCCTGGATCACAGGCCAAGGCACTGGGATGGGTGAGGGCAAGGGGGAGTCCTGGCTGCGGGACTGGAGGCAGATTTTCAAACAATGCCTTCCTCTTGTCCCCTGCAGAACGCATCAACCAGACGGTGGAGATCCTGAAGCACACAGTGGACATTGAAGAGAAGGGAGTCAAGTTGAAACTCACCATTGTGGACACACCAGGCTTCGGGGATGCTGTCAACAATTCTGAATGGTGAGAAAAGCCTAACTGGAAAATGGGTCCCTGCCCTATCCAATCCCTGCTTCCCTGGTCCAGCAGGCAGCCTCACAGCTGCCCTCATGATCCTCCCACCCCCAGCTGGAAGCCCATCAGTGATTATGTAGATCAGCAGTTCGAGCAGTATTTCCGTGATGAGAGTGGCCTCAACCGTAAGAACATCCAGGACAACCGGGTTCATTGCTGCCTATACTTCATCTCCCCATTTGGGCATGGGTATGTGTGACACTTAACCCCTCTGCTGAGTATCCCTGTAGCTGTGCTTGTCACTGTGCCGCCACCACCCCTCACCATACCCATCCCAGCCCCCGGCTGCTCTCTGCAGGCTGCGGCCAGTGGATGTGGGTTTCATGAAGGCTCTGCATGAGAAGGTGAACATCGTGCCACTCATCGCCAAAGCTGACTGCCTGGTCCCCAGTGAGACCCGGAAGCTGAAGGAGCGGGTAAGCCTGCTGTAGCAGAGAAGCCTGGCCAGAGAATCTGGGGTGGAGAGTACCAGATGTACCTCATCAGCCCCAAATCTGACAGCTGTTATCCTGACACTGCAGATCCGGGAAGAGATTGACAAGTTTGGGATCCATGTGTACCAGTTCCCAGAATGTGACTCAGATGAGGATGAGGACTTTAAACAGCAGGATCGGGAACTGAAGGTGAACTGAAGCCAGGTTGAAGGAGGGTAAAGGTGGTCAGGGACAGAACCAGAGGCACATAGGTCTCCTTCACACAGGGCTTGAAGGGCTGAGCACTCAGGTCTGACCTCATAAGGTCAGAAGTTGTCCTGCCAATAAGAGATCTGTACCTCATCAGCAAAGGCCAGAGGGTAACAGTGATCCAAATCTCTGCCTGGCCTATGTGGGTCATTTGGGCCTCATCTACATGTTTAGTGGGCCATGGAACCATTGGCTGGGTCACCTTGATGTGTTCTCCATGGATCATCCACTAGTCTAGTAGCCACATGGTAGTGGAATTCCCTGGCGTCCAGAATCCTGAGCTACAGAAGAGTGGTGACTTTGGGTGTCCCAGCAGCTAGAGTAGCAATAACAGACCCAAGCCAAGGAGAGGCATTATGGGGCATGATCTCACCTCTTAAGAGAAAGAGGGCAAAGGTAGGTGGTTGCTGGGGAGAAGGGATCTGGAGGGAGTGACCTAGTGTGCACAGAGGTCCTGAGGGTATGAGCTGCACAGGGTATGGCTTCAGTGAGCAGCAGAGAGGCCAGAAGATAGGTGATGCCAGGATCTCTAGGGAGAGGGTGTTGGTGATAGTGATTATGAATGGTGACCAGTGACCCTGCTGGACCAGTGACCCTGCTGCCCTACACACCCTCTCCAGGCACTGAGGGCACTCACAGGGCTGGGCCTTTGCTCCCCTCCCCCCAGGAGAGTGCTCCCTTTGCTGTTATTGGCAGCAACACGGTGGTGGAAGCCAAAGGGCAGCGAGTCCGGGGGCGGCTGTACCCCTGGGGGATCGTGGAGGGTGAGTCCATGTCTGGGGTTCTAGGAATGGGGTGGGAAGGCTCCCCTGGGTAGCACCCACCCACTGCGCACTCCTGCCCCACAGTGGAGAATCAGGCACACTGCGACTTCGTGAAGCTGCGCAACATGCTTATCCGCACTCACATGCACGACCTCAAGGATGTGACCTGTGATGTGCACTATGAGAACTACCGGGCACACTGCATCCAGCAGATGACCAGGTGGGCTGTCCCTGTGCACACACGGAAACCCAACCAACCCCGGCCACTTAGAGGGTTGGTCATGCCCTTCCCACCCAAACCTGAACTTTATTCCAATCCTCGAAAGGTTCTACAGCACCTGATCTCCCAAAGTCAGACCTGGGGCCTCAGGCCTAGCAGGAATCCCTCAAACATGCTCCAGCCCACCACTTTGAGCCTCCCAGTAGTGCCGTCCTCCCATCTCTCCCCTACAGTAAACTGACCCAGGACAGTCGCATGGAGAGTCCCATCCCCATCCTCCCACTGCCCACCCCAGACGCTGAGACAGAGAAGCTCATCAGGATGAAGGATGAGGAGGTTGGTGGGGAGGTGGGGGTGGAGTCTGGGCTGGGTTGATGGGGCGGGGCCAGGGCTGGGTGTGGCCTTCAAGAGGGATTGGGCCAGGCCTCTCCAGGTTGTCTTTCTCACCCTGACTACTATTGTCCCCAACCTCAGTTAAGGCGAATGCAAGAGATGCTGCAGAAGATGAAGCAGCAAATGCAGGACCAGTGACCCCGCTGCTCCAGCCTGCCTCTGGCCTCTCCCACCCCTGGACCCTAGACTTGCCTGGACTCCACCCTGGATTCACTTGGATCTCAGAGGGACCTGGACCTAACCCTAAACCCAGAGTGGCCCTGAGGGGACTACTCCCAACCCAGAGACACGGAGCCACAATCCCCTCCCCATGACCCTAATTTATTCTTAGCATCAGTCTCTACAGGTCATTTGTATGTGTTTCCTAGGGGCCTGAATAACAGTGCTCCCCCAAAAAATCAGCCCACTCTGGCCTTGGGGAATCAGGAGTCAAGTTGGACACAATTTCCTTGATTCCCCTTCTGAAGAAGGTCAGAGCACCCAGGCTATAAGCCCTGTTCAGGCAAGGGGATAAACCAAGGTAGAGAAGGGGAAAGGGCCGGGCCTTTTTCCCCACCCCTGCACTGCTGAGCAAATTTAGGAGCCCCCTTGTGCCAGTTTCGTGAGTCACCCAGTGTATACTGACACCCTACTTTGTGCAAGGTGGGCTGGGTCCTCCCTTACCCAGTCACTTAAACTGGGACTAGAGCAGGCAGGCAGGGTGGGGCTACTGAAGCAGCTGGGAAGACTCCAGACTAGAAGGCCAAGCCTTTTAGTTGAGGAGTGTGGGACCAGCAAGCCAAGCAGTCTAGCCCCTTCCTCACAATGGCCAGCAAATCCAGAGGACTCCTGGGGTAGGGGGTGGTGGGCTATCCCCTGGCAACCCTCATGCCTAGGTGGCTGTTCCCTGCCAATAGCTCGAGGTGCCCTCTCCAGCAGCACTATGGTGCTGGGATCTCAACTCCTCAGCCTCCTTTTTCTCCACCCGCATGACCCCCACACACCCTGTGCTCCGTTTTGTTAAGTTGTGAATGCCACGTCCTGTCCTGGTGGCAGGAAAACAATGTTGGTGAACATCACTGCGGGTGTCCGAGTGTTCCGTGCACCCCTGAGAGTGGTTGGGGGCCGGAAGCCCCAGCAGCTGGCCAGCCCTGGTGATAGTGCTCTATCTGTGGCTGCAGTGCTGGTCTGAGTTGCCTCTGGGTTATTTCTGGCGCGGTAGCAGCATTGTGGTCTGTGTGGCGGGCTCACAGGGCCTGTAAGGAGCCTGCTGGCTCTCTGGCCAACGCCTCCCACCCCACAGCAAGCCGGCCACGGACCTCTCACCATGGGCTCCTGTGAGTCTGGGGTCAGGTCTACTGGTTCCTGGGCAATCCCAGGTTAGGTGGGGTTTTGATTGTCTTGGCTTGGGAAAGGTTTGGATAAAATTGGGGGATTTCAGCCAGTGCATGGGGTGATCTGGTGGAAAGGCTGGAGGCTTACAGGGCATGAGCCTCATGAGCTGCACGGAGCCAAGCCAAGCTCAGGGACGCCCCTTGGGTGTCCTCCACCCCTCATTTCAGCCCTTCTTTTCTAGGGCCGAGCAGAGCGCTGAGCCTGCTGCTGCTACTGCTGGCGCTGCCGAGTTGCGCAGCTGTGGGCTGCCCCGCGCCGTGTAGCTGCGCAGGGACACAGGTGGACTGCGGGCGCCGTGGGCTAACGTTGGCCTCGCTGCCGGCAGTCTTCCCGCCTGACACAACAGACCTGGTGCTGACCGGCAACAACCTAACGGCGCTGCCGCTGGGGCTGCTGGACACACTGCCAGCGCTGCGTGCTGTGCACCTGGGGGCTAACCCCTGGCGCTGCGACTGCCGCCTGGTGCCGCTGCGCGCCTGGCTGGCCGGCCGCCCGGAACGCGCTCCTTACCGCGACCTGCGCTGCGTCTCACCCCCTATGCTGCGTGGCCGCTTGCTACCCTACCTAGCCGAGGAGGAGCTACACGCCGCATGCGCGCCCAGCCAACTCTGCAGGTGGTCGCTAGCAGTGCAGTTCGCGCTCCTCTGCCTCGGGATGCTACACGCCTTGCTCCTGGCATTGTTTCTGTGCCGCCTGCAAAGGCTGCGCACCCGAGACCGCGCCCGTGCCGCATACCAGGTACCTCTGACCACCCCGCTGGTGTACAAGCCCACCGAGGCAGGTGCGTGCTCCTAAGAGGGATCATCTTAGGTCTGCAAATTCGACAAAACTCTGCCCAAGAAGCCTTCGTCTTCTCTTGGACCCACCTTGGCCTCTGCCCAGCCTCCCAGCCTCTCCAAAACCTGAAAGCCAGAATCCATGTAGGACAGAGTGAGGTGACCTATCCCCTCTATGCCTGGGGAGGTAGAGGCGCCTAGGTACTGTGGCCCAACACTTAAGAGCTTCCCTTCCCCAAGTCCACGCTGAATAAACCCTTCTCTGGCCTGTCCGCACCTTCAACTTTGGATCCATTTGCTAAACCCCAGAAAAAGCCCCAGGGAGGATGGGCAAGAGACACAATCACATCTTCACACTGAGCCAAACTAGCCCAGAGCAAGTAAGGGTTAGTGAGTAAACTCCTCTGCCCCACACTGTCCCAGGACATTACGGGTAGTGTGGACAGAGAGGGCATGCACGACAATGTGGACAAGCAGACTGAAGGTGTTCAGAGGATTCTTGTAGGCAGGGAGGGACCACGAAAGAACCTCTATCAGTCACCCTGCTGTGTGGAGAGCTTTCAGAGCAGATGAGGCTCCAGTGGAGTCCATAATCCCTGGTAATCTAGGTGGGGATCAGCCTCTGTAGACATGAAGGCACAGAAAGGCAGATCTATGGAAATCCCCTGCAGGTGTGAGTGAGTGCCAATGTCTGGCCCTGAGTGAGCTAGGCCTGCCCCACAGCCTGGGCCTCCTCAGGCACACCAGATCTTCCTGTCCCCAAATCCACAGCAGCAGCTCCAACCCCAGCCTCTAGTGCCAGACTTAAGCCCACCCTGAGAACCCTGTTCCTGATCTTGCTGTCCCCACAGCTGCTACCTGTCCAGGCTCCTGAGCTGTACCATATTGACCCCACCTCCCAGCCAGACCTATACAAAAGCTGCTCTTTGCCTGGCACATGGTACCCTTCTCACCACTGCCCGTTGCTTATCCTGTACCTCCCTAGCAAGTCCTCCCTCACTGTTGCATCTCTTGGGAAAGCTTCCCTAACTACCCTCTAGTCCCCAGTCTGCTCCCCTAGTTCTGCCCCTGACAGTGAGCAAGCATGTCCTGAGAATCTTCCCTGCTAACAAGGGACCCAGAGCACCCCTTGGATACTTCTCCACTATTGGAGCTGGTTTAGGGATTCTAGGGACAGGGTTCTTCGTCCATCTTTGGTGTGGTCCCACCCAGCTGGCCCTGTGAACAATGAACAATGAAGGTAGAACTCAGAGGGCCCCCAACAGGACTTGATGAGGAGCCTCAGGGCCAGGCACAGGAAGGCCCTGGGTGCCCACTGACCGCTACTGACCAGGTCGGGAGGCTGCCCCTGACACAGCTTTTGTCCTAGTCTTTGTTGGACAAGATGGATGGCCCTCTGATGCTATCTTGAGGCTGCTGGTCAGAAGTGAGGCACTAGCCATCCCCTCCTTTGTGGACAGGTGCAGGGCATCCGGCTCATTGTGGGCTGTAGCTGACTGTCCGGTTGTCCATCCGGCCTTATCACCACATCAGAAACAGTGGCCCTCTTTGTACAAATGAACTGCCCCCCAGGAGTGGCTGGCATCCCCTCCCAACCTCTGACAGAGGTCAGAGGTAGGAGACAAGATACATAAGCAGCTCCCTAATTTCTAACTGAATGTGATGCAGGGGAAGCATTCCCCCTGCCTTCTAGTGGAGGAAGCTAAATCCCTGGGAGGGACCCCTACTGGACTCCAGAGCTCTCTTTGTGGCTACATGGAGAGCAAAGCTGAGGCCAGACATTGGGGCATTCTTTGGGGAAAATGCAGGGCCTAGGAAAAAGTGGGCCAGGGTTCTAGGTGACCCCAAGCTAAGAAGAGGTACTCCCACCCCTGACTGTGGGATGAGGCCCCAGCAGAAACTATGGGAAGGAGCCCAGACCCACTGCCTTCTGCTCACATAGTGTGAGGGCTCCAGGGCCAGTGCCTGGTAGAGTGTGGGCATGGAGGCCCCGAGGGGCAGGAGCTTCAGAGCCCCTGGGACTTTTCTGGTGGATGAACAAAGCTGGAAACAGCAATGAGGCAGCTGAACCCCATGTTCCCCTGGGTCTACCCCATGGCATAGACTGGTACTAGGGTATAGACCACAGGAGTGGAGACACAGCCTGCCTTGCTAACTGACCTCCTCCAGTGAACTAGGACTCCTTGTCCCAACTCCTGACCCTACACTGACCTTCTCGTGCGCTGAGCCTGGGGCCTCAACCTCCAAAGAGTTCAGGGAAGTGGCTCGTCCCAGCTCAGTGCCCCTGAATGGCCCTACCAGGTGAGGGGAGCTCCATGCCCTCCTCCTACCCCCCTGCCCCAGCATGTCTGCCCTCTGCAGACAACACACGTGTCCCAAGGCCTCCTGCCCACTGACCAGCTGTTGCCCTCTGTGGCCTCAGATTCCTCTTAGACCAGAACAAACTAGGGAGCCCATCTCAAGCTTTGCGCAGACCCCCACACTTCCAGGCCTTAGGGAAGGGTGTGAAGGCACTGCAGCACCCTGCCGTGTGGAGGAAGCCTCCTTGGGCGCCTTATAGAAACAGACCTCAGTGTACCCTGTCTCACCAGCCAGACACGCCACACGTTCCCTAGGCCACACTCCTGCTCTAATGTCTTCCTTCCTGTGACTGTCATCCCTTTTCAAGGCCCCATTCAAGCTCTGTTTTCCCCTCTCAAGGGTTTCCCAGCCTTCTGTGGTCTGACCCAGGGCCCTGTGTCTAGATCTGTTTCCACATCTGGTGTCTTCCACAGCCAGACAGCAAGGGATGGACCAAATGGAGCCCCAGCAAGGGCAGGCGGCAGCCCCGGAGTAGGCACATCCAGGACACCCCACAGCGAGCCTCTACCTCCTCCTTGTGAAATGGGCAGGCGCTCTGGAGCTAGCGAGTCCTGTTCTCCCCTCCGGCACTGCGACCCCAGGGAAACAGCAGAGGGCGCTCGTAGCATGCAGAAAACACCGGCGAAGGGGTGAACTGGGGCCGAGGTTGGCTCTGGGGGTGCAGACAGCTAGGACCCTCGGAGAAACAGAAACGGAGCAAGTGGAGGACGTGTCCACGCCACGGAGGACGGCATCTAGAGAGGCTGGCAGGTCGCCCCATCGTCGGGGTAGCGAGGGGGGTCCACACGGCCACTGACAAACGGAGTGGGTGAGCGCGGCTCTCTCCCCTCTCCTCCCCTCGCGGGCAGGCTCAGTGACAGCTTGTCAGCCGCGAAGATAAGGGAGGGACCTCTTGCACCAGGCGCAGGGGCGGGGCCGTCCCAGGTGCACCCTCCCCCCTCCTGCTGGAGTTTGCTCCGTAAACACTTATTGGGCCCCTGCTGTGTGCACCGTGGTGAGGGCGGGACAAGCAACGGTGAGGGCAGCCCAGGATACAGCTGCTGCTCCTACACCTCCGGACCACCTTAGGGACGAGGCTTGCGTCGGGGTGCTCCCTTGGGCCCGTCTCCAGCCTGGGGCCACCGCTAAACTAGGCTGACCTTCCTGGGGCCTCGCATGGAGGAGGCCTGGGAAGGTGTGGGGGGCCCAAGTCCAGGCCACGTGGGGAGGGGGATCGCACCCGCTGCCCAGACAGAGCAACAACATTGGGGTGGGTGGCGGAGCCCTGGGGGCCCATAGCTCACTGCACCGTCTGCGCCCACCCCCGGCGTTTCCGATGGAAGACAGGCAGCTGGTGATAAATCACTAACTCCCACCCCCACCCACCAGGGCCTACTGGTGGGGAAAAGGGGCTGCCGAGGCAGTGTGTGACAGAGACAAGGCCTGAGACACAGACAGGAGACAAACGCAGAGAAGGAGACTCAGAGACCGGTTGACACCCACCAAGTCCTTACTGGGGTGTCTGATCTCCCCTCCCAGGTACCCCCTCCACAAAGCCCATCTGGAAGCCAGCTGAGAGCCACCCCCACCCAGGCTGACCCCAACAGGGAGGTGGAGGAGGAGGGAGCCAGGTCTTTGCAGCATAACTCCAGCTCCCCTGGGAGGCCCATAAATCAGCAGGGGGCACTCGGGAAGCACTCCCCCAGGCAAGTGAGGGTCTTTAGGGTCACTGAAACTGGTGACTAGGCCTGGCCTTGGCTGTGTCCTTCTCTCTTTAAACAGCCCTTGGGGGAATCCACAGCCCCCAGCTCTCTTTTTCACTGGCACAGTCAACTGGCCTACAGCCATCTATACCCAGGATTGTCTTCACTGGATGGGCACACCCATTGCCTTCTCTCTCCAACAAGAACTGCATACAAAGGAGTATGTATCCCCACTAAGAGAACCCCTTGAGACTAGTTTGTTGCTGGTCCCTCAGGAGCTTCGAGTCAACAGGTCCTTCCCAGTGAAGCCCTCACTATGGGTTCACTCTGTCAAAGGGAAATGCTATCCATACCTCCTTCCATCCTGCCTTTCTGTCATCTCCCCCCAAGGTGCTGAGGGCTTGCCAGACAAAAGGTGCTGAGAGATTTGCCAGGTGGGCCCCCCAGGTGTAACTACCCCCACACACACCCGCAAACAGAGAGCAGGTGTAATGTCAGTATCTAGTGGGAAAGGCTTGAAAGCCCCTGGGATAGTTCTCAGGACCTGCAGAGTGTACTCAGTACCCCGGTGCCAGGACCCCTAATCTCAGTGAGGCTGGCTCAGCAATCCCTGTCTGTCCAGGATTTGTTCTGTAGGCAACTCCTTGTGTCCCACATGGTGGAGTTAAGACCACTTACATACAAGGAAACACAATCCCCTACGCTGTCTTAAGAAGTGGTAGAGGTAGAGAGAAGGGTGCGGGATGTTTTCGTTTCTAGAAAGAATTGTGTTCTTGGGATTGTGTTTGAGAGAGGCACTGAGTATCCTGTGGGCTGCCCTGGGCCTGGTCACATGGAGGATCCTCTTGAGTCTTGAACAAATCCTCAAGTCAAGCACTAGAGGTATCTCAGGGAAAGGTGCAGCAAGGCAGAGGCAGAAGAATTGAGGGCTGAGAAGTCAGGCCCCCTTGGTCCCAAATCCTCCTCCAGTAGCAGTCCCTGCCCCTCCCTGCCTCCAGCGGTCCTGACGGAGCTTGCTCCCTCCCCCTCCCATTGGGGTTGTCTTCACTTTGATAGGAGTTCACCTAGTTCTGTTTGTTTAAGTGGTCAGACCAATCTAGTGGCTCTGAGTTTGGCAGGTCCACATGTGGCCAGGGAAGAGGGTTCCAGGACACACTCTGCAGGATCCAGCCTCTTCCCACTGGGTATAGCTCATGGGTACCTCCACTGGGTACAG